TGAACCAGTATTTATTTAAAATATTTTCCTAGAACCCCTGCTGCAAGCCCTGCAGCCAAAGATGCTCACCCTCCTCCCCTGCTTTCTCCCCTGGTAAGAGCCCCCAAGCCGAGAAGGCTCACTGGGGGGTGAGGGGAAGGGAGGCAATGTTCTCCCTGCTGCAAGCCCTGTAGCTAATAACACTGCCCCCTCTGCAAGTTTTGTCAGCTGCAAGGCTGGCAGCGAGTGGTGTACCCATGTGGCTCGGAGCCCTTGAGTTGATGGGGCTCCCAGCCACACGAGTGTACTTGGCCACATGTTCAAGTATTGGTGTGATTAGAACAAGCTGAAAAAATATTACATATTTTTTGTGGAATAACTTTGTAGCTTATGGCTTGTTTATCATGCCATGAATTGGTTGAACATGTAACTGAGTCATAACATCAGGTATGATTACCTGGTTAATCATGCCTCAAGTGTACTGTGTAGGAGAGGCCTGAGCTCTGATTAGTTCATGTGTAAATTTATGTCATTTGGGAACCAGGTGGTCTACTGAATGCTACCTTGTCATTTAATCCTGCCTCTCCTCCTGCTACCACTTGGTAAAATACAACAACACAAGTGAAATGTGTCAAGTACTGTCTTAAGTATTACTCTTACATAGAAGCAATTGCTGGGATCACTGCTATGATGGGAAGTACATTCATAAATGGGAGAAAAAGATGATCTTTTAGGGCATTCTATATACTATGCTCTCATGATGAAAAAAAGTAAGAATTTTGGAATACCTAATCCAAGCAAGCTTCTAATCCTGCCCTTTACCTCCTGCCAGACTTCACCGTCCCAACATGCAAAAGAAAAAAAAAAGAAAGAACATAATCAAAAGTAATTATCAGAAGTAAGTATTGTTAACTGATGTGTCAGGCTCCTCAAACAGCACAAGTTATAATACAATTTCTACTGTATCCCATCATTCCTAGTTATCACTCATTCCATTATAATTTATATAAACCATGATTCTTCAACAATATCTTCCAGACATTGGACTTGCACTTCCTTGCACTTCCATGGCTCTATATATGACCAAGGCCTTAAATTATAAATAGGGACCTACTGAAACCATGGAACCCCACCCCACCTCCTCCTCCTCCCTACCCCCTCCCACCTGCTCTGCCTTTCCCCTTTGTTTGTTAGGTTTTTGGGGTTTTGGGGGGGGGGGGAAGGGGGGGAAGTTGCACTAAGCCCAACAAAATTGCAGAGCCTACCACTTGTGGATGGCCCAAAAACCATGGCTTAATTATCCTGATTAAGTCAGGGGAAGCCATCGGTCCAACCGTAATAACATGTGGATTAATGGCTTCCCTCAGATTAATCAGGGTAATTAAACGACAGTTTTGGGTCAGATGGCAATCTGCAGGGGGAGATGGGACTGCTGGGGCCCCTCAACCAATCAGAGGTGTGGAGGGGAGGGGTGCGCTATGCTCAGATCATGAAAATGGCAGCTGGCCCCAGGATCTGACCACGAAAATTGGCTGCCTGCCTCCTCAAATTCAGTAAACCCCTAGTTATAGGCTCTGGGAACATGGAATGCGTCTTTCAGTAAAAGCACCTGTAATGTTGCAATGTTATGAATAATATCAGAATTATTTAACTGCAGTCAGTATGTTTAAAGATAATACACTCTTGACAGAGCAAACTGTCAATAATTCAAAGAAATGAAATACAATAAATAAAGCTCTGAGGCATTATGAAGCCTAAAAATGAATTCCAAGATGTACTGTGCTCTTTTTTTTTTTTTAAATAGAACACCCAGAAATGAACACTAGAGAAAAAAGCATCATCACATCCTTTGAATTGCAACATGCTGTGTGAGATGCCCTTTGTCTCACAAAAGGTTGAAAACAGAGGAAGGAAGTAGATCATACCTCATCCTACTAAATTTTGAAGCACTGGATCTTGGGTGACCAGTCATTAGGTGACCTTTATTTTTGGCTGGAGAAGTAGCTGATGCTGCAACTCTCATTTCATGAATTGTGTGAGAAAACCAAACACATTTCCTAAAACTGCTTCCAGAAAGTTTCTGAGACGGTCAGAAATATCCCATCTGCAGTGTACTTTGCTGTTGTAATAACTTTTTTCCCCCTGAGAAAATCATGAGCAAGCAATGACAAAAATAATGCAACTAGGAGAAAAATCACGAGTGGGCAATGACAGAAATAATGTCACTGAGATCAAAACCACTGAAATTACAGTCAGAACTTCTTTATATTTCACTTAACATCACCACTTAAATTAGAAAGATCTCTTTTGCCATGTCTTCATGCCTTTGTAAATGTTTTCCTCCTATCTCTCCATGTCACTCAACTCCTAAACACGTAATCATTTCCACAGCACTGTATCTGCAGTTACTATATTTCTGATGACTATACATCTCTGCCTCCATCCACCTCCAAGAATACCACCTTAAGTTGCATTACATTTTAGTGGCATAGCATAGGGGAGTGAAAAACTGGTCCCAACAACTCACATGCTGTTTGGCTGTCTGGCACATTTAGGTGACTGTTGATAATACTTAACCCTTCTCAGCAGCTACCACCCCAGTGTGCAGCTACCTCCCCACCACCTGCTATGTGGACAAAGATTTGTATTATAGTCGTGTAGATTGGGAGTTCACAGTACAGAGCAAGATACAGGCTCTGACCTAAATATCTAAACAAAAAGCAGAAGAGAAATAGATGTGAAGTGAGCTAGGAATAGAACCCAGCTGAGAGTCCTCTCCAAACCACACACAGAGCAAGCAGCTAAATGATACTGGAAAAAGGGAGAGCAGTGACTTTTAAAAAACTGGGGAGGAAGGAAGGAAGGAAGGAGAAAGAATTTTTTAGGGGCAAAGAGACAGATTAATCTCGAGTCAGGATGACAGGTTTTGGTAGGAGGGAGAAACAATCCAAAAATTGTCCTTCTACTTTGATTATAGGTCTGCAACATAAGGATTAATGGAGCAAGATGTTGCTGTTTTTTCACTTCCTGACAGAAAACCTGGAGCTAGTATTGATTTGAGATATTGTCTACTATAATTTAAATCCAGGTTTTGGCTTCTGAAATGACACTTTCAGAGAAGTTAATAATCTGAATTTACAGCTCTGCCC